CAACTAAAGGTGGCATAGATACTTTATTATGGTATAGTATTTAAATATATGCCTGAGAAACACATAATATTGCCCCTTTAAAGTCAGAGTTGCAGTGTGAGTATTGTGCAATCAAGACTGTGGGTTATATGAAACGTCCAGAATTTAACAGTTGCAGTCTGAACTTTAACCCTGCAGCCAAGAAACTACAGAAAATACAACAAAGGTGTTCCGTTGGTTATCTAACACTTTTTCTTGGACCGGTTTGGATTCATAAACAGTGAGGACGTTTAACTGACCACGACGGGCCGCAGCATGGCCACGAAGCAGCAGAAACGACTCCTTTCCTCGACCAGCGCCCGCCGCACGGCCTGCTTCTCCGTCTCCTCCAGCAGCAGGTACTTGTCGCTGACGTCCTGCATGGCGCTGTCCAGCTGAGGCTGGAGGTCTCCGCGGCCTGGACGCACCAGCACAAACACAGAAATAAGAGACGTCCTCAGARCCTGGTTTCACCTCAACATCTGTCAAAATGTTTGTTTGATGATGCAGCTAAGTTTTACTGCAATGAGTAGCATTTGGATTATGTGAGGAACAGAGAGGAGTGGGACAGCTTTAGGCGAACTGTGACCAGATCATTGAGCAGCTCTGTCATCTCAGAACAAAACGTTTGAGCCTCCCACAAACCGTTAAACCACATTAAAGAACCAAACGAGCCCAGAAACAACAAGTAATGGATGGGAAACCCCTCCTGCAGCAAATTAAAACACATTATTAGGTGGTTACTAATACTTTTTCTTATTGTGGTTTTAAAAAAGACAATATCTGAATTTACGATGCTGCTAAATTTGGATGCATTCAAAACATACTTTTGACTATTAAAAGATGATCTCATACCAGGAGGGCTCACTGCTCAAATAGAAGGGGGTCTCTGCAGTCACAAAGTGGGAGTTTCTTACTTTGTGGGAGGAGTTGGCCCAAGGCGGGATTGGTTGGATTGGTGGAGTTTGAAGAAGCTGGGGGGCAGCTAGTCAAATCAGGCAGGAAACATCTATATTTATTTAAATCCATCCATCCATCCATCCATCCATCCATCCATCCATCCATCCATCCATCCATCCATCCATCCATCCATCCATCATCTGTACACGGTTATTCCTTTCAGGGTCGCAGGGGTCAGTGGTGCCCATATCCAGCAGTCACAGTGCAAGGGGCAGGGCACACACGGGGGTATTTATTTAAATATATACAGTATATAAACTTTAGTCATACTAAAATAACCACGTCATTATTTAAGTCATTGTTCAGTTTTAAACCATACATAAACAGTCAATAAATCATTTTACCTTACTATTTTCATTACTTCCTCTTAAATTGCCCCACAAGACAAATCAATCTGACCAATCACGTTAGGGAAAACTCCACCCATACACCAACTCCACCAATCTCGGATAGGGCCAGCTCCGCCCACCTCAAGACCTGCACCAATCAGGGCCAACTCCGCCCACCTCAAGACCTGCACCAATCAGGGCCAACTCCGCCCACATCAAGACCTGCACCAGTCATGGCTAGAGCCAACTCCGCCCACACATTAGCTCGGCCAATCATGATTAGAGCCAACTCCGCCCACATAAAGATCTGCACCAATCACAGGTAGGGCTAACTCCACCCACAGGTAAACATTTACTGTAGAAACCCCCACTTGGCTCAAACTGGAGCTAAAGATATGCTGAGTGGGAAATTAC